CATACTTCATTTATAGTAATTGATCATCTCTGCCTTTCACTAACATAGTTAGCAAGACCTAAGAGGAATGTGGATCACTGACAGATCATAGCACTAATTCACAGAAGTGCTTTAATAAGTAAGGATTAGCCAGCCTTTCCATTTTCAGCCAGTCCAATCCATAAAGGAGGGCAGCACAAAACGCTCTACCTCATTAAACAAGATCTTATTAACTGGAGCTGGGCTTATTCAGCTCAAAACTTGTGCATTTAATCAATTAAGTTGCATGCGTTAAGTTAATCATCATAATTCCACACATTTTGCGGGAATCAAATGTCAAGGTTTCATTATGGTTTATTTTTAGGATGATTGGCAGTTTGCAGAGTTAAAATCTACTGTTTTAAAATAAGCGTTTTAATTAAATGCATAAGCATTGCCTTACACAGATGTTGCAGTGCATCACAGTGTTGAGGATAAACTAGAACTTTCTGTCTGTCTGAACACTAATGCTCACTAATTATTGATTGATATATAAAGATAAATGATAAATCTATAGATAAAGATAAGTGGCCTACTATCCCCTTTTTAAGTCTTGACATATCAGTGACGTATGAAATACTGTTTCCGGGTCCAAACAGCGACTCATTTGAGTTGAGAAAATATTCATGACCACTTTTTAGTCATATCACACATTAAATTAAATTTTTTAGAAAATCATGGTACACACAACAGTCTCTGGACTTGCTTCATCTAAGACACTAATATTGTAACAATTTATAAAAAAATAATCACTTTCTGGTCATCTGATAATAGGCATGGATATACAGTTGAAGTCAGAATTAATAACCCCCCTGTTTATTTTTTTCCCCCATCTTCTGTTTAACAGAGAGAAAAAAGTTTTCAACACATTTCTAAACATAATAGTTTTAATAACTCATTTCCAATAACAGATTTAGTTTATCTTTGCCATGATAACAGTACATAATATTTGACTAGATATTTTTCAAGACACTTTTATACAGCTTAAAATGACATTTAAAGGGGGGCTAATAATTCAGACTGTATATGGTTTTATTTACTCTGGTTTGTTTGGATTATAACTGAGGAAATTATGCTTGCATTTTGCTAGCTGAGACCTTAGCCGGTTCTCATTTCAGAGGCTACATAGGTGAGTTCTTCAAAGTCCACACAGGCCAAACCGAGCATTTTAAAATCAGACGATCTAGACAAACTTATTTTAAGCGATTTGGAGGCAAAATAATGTTTACAGAGGCTAAATATAAATGTAAATATATTCCTTTGATCCATACATGTACCCATAAATGTGTAAACTGTCTAAAAAATCACTCTTTAGTGAGACATGTAACGCTCTTTTTGTTTTTAAACATGTTTAGATATCCAAGTAAAATAAACCTAATTAATACATTTAAACTGATATTTTCTTTTAAAAAGTTTTGCCGTTTTCAGCGTGCAATGAATCTTAGGATGTTTGAGGCTGTAAAGGATTCACTGGCTCTATTCTTTATTACCTGGGAAACAAAGGACACATTTTTAGGCATGACAGCCTTTGTCGTGCAACGACGACACAACACATTTTGAATGCATCCTTCGGAGGATGCAACCTCTAAAATGAGACAGCTCTTTTTACATTTAATTTTTCAGCGTTGAAACTAGGCTCAATTGATACCATAAATGTTGTCATTTTAATGTGGTATTTGCATTTAGCACAGGGCTATTGCTATGTTTTAGCTATTGCTAGCATGTTTTATCACATTCAGCAATTGAATTTAACCATGGTTTTACACAAATTGGATACAAATAAATACTGGTAATTGTTCTTAAACCATAGCAAAACATGATTTTGCTACACTGATCATAATAAAAGGTTTATCAGACGGTAATCAGTGTGTTTACTAAAGTAAGTTTGCAGGCTGCTAGCATAAACTGTCATGTTACTAACATGTTGCCTTATTAATTTCTTCTGTAGTCATATTGTGTGAAGAAGAATTGCAGTTTACGTTTACTGCCACCACACCAGTGTTTGATCTGAGCAGGAGTATACAGTTGCACTGAATATAGAGTTGTGTATACAGCATGTGCATTTTTTGACTTTTCAAAAATGTACGTTCAGGCACATTTTTTTCCAATGAGCCTGGGTTGTCTATTTCATCTTGCAGTTTGCTTTTTCAGCAGTATTGTTTGCGTCTTCTCTACCTTTCGTTCCGCCCCTGGTTGACATTTTCCCTTTTTTTTGCCGGAGTTGGCAAATTACACTGCTCCACGGCCCACTACGACGTACTGCATTTTACCTTGCCTAACTTCAGTTACGCTAAATAAAATGAGTCAAGTGAGATGAATGTTCATGTCTGACATCAGCTTTACTGCACATCCGGGAGCCACAATCTGAACAAGGGCAAAAAGGGTGAGGTTATTCGTGGGAGGGACTTTCAGTTCTTTGGGAATAGATTTCATGCTTCATTATAAAATGGAGTTCTGCAGTAGGTTGAGAGATGTAATTATAGAAATCTCTGCTGCAGCTCAATCAAAACAGTCAAGGACTAAAGCGTAAAATGAAAGAACCAATCAGAGCTCTTAAAACTGCATCAGTGCTGATGAGCATCTGTTTATGCAAACCCAATGAGTAAGTACTTATGAATGGAATGTTTATCAAATTAAAATTTCAAAACTGTATTTATACTGAAGATCGCTGCTTTCCGCGCATGTTTTTCCATAAACACCCCACAGTCTGCTTGATAGAGTCCCAAATGTTTTTTTGTTGGTAGGAATGTTGAATTTTTAATGGAGCTCTAAGTGGAGAGGAAATAATCATAGTTGCACAGTCGCAATTAACGTCATTGGTAAAGACTTATTGATCACCAGCACCTTTGGTTGCCAGATTGTTATTACGCTTGGGGATTGAGCAATGCAGTGTCTATTTCATCAAGATGGCAGGCCACATGGTGACTTGCCTAAACAAAAGGGAACTTGAGTGTTGGCATTGCAATTCCATCTATTGGCAGAACAAGAGCGCTGCTGTATGTTTTTACCTTTTTACTGGTAGACATAGTAGTTGATTAGCTTGTCCACATTTTTTTTTTTTTTTGATAAGTGCTTAGATTTTAATTACTGAACCTTAATTAACATGTGTATGCTGTTTTAGCAATTCAAATATTTGCACGATTAAACCCTCCAAAAAAGTTCTCCATTTTAATGAGGGAAATTAGCATTTGTTGCCATGATCTTAAGCCAGACTCACACTGTGCAATTTTTAATAATCCTATATGATTGTATTTGTCAGACTACATGAACCTGATTCTCATTTTACACTGTAAGATCCAGAAAGTGTCACAGTGGGTAGTACGAACGCTTTACAGCAAGAAGAGCCCTGGCTGGGTTAGTTGGCATTTCTGTGTGGAGTTTGCATGTTCTCCCTGTGTTCACATGGGTTTCCTCTTGGTTCTCCGGTTTCCCCCACAGTCCAAAGACATGCGCTCTAGGTGAATTGAATAAGCTAAATTAGTTGTTGTGTATGTGTAAATGCAAGAGTGTGTTAGTGTTTCCCAGTGTTGGGTTGCAGCTGCAAGGGCATCCGCTGCATAAAACATATGCTGGATAAGTAGATGGTTCATTCCGCTATGGTGACCCTTGATTAACAAAGGGACTAAGCCGAAAAGAAAATGAATGAATGAATGAATGAATGAATGAATGAATGAAATCCAGAAAACTCATCAGGACTATAATGTCATCCATACGTGACACATTTACCAATCCATGTTCTGAAATAATAACTTACAGCAAACATAAACCATTTATCACATTATTTTGTTAACAGCATACCTTAAAAACAAAACCAAAAAGCTTTTTTGACATTTCCCAGCAGTGGACTTGCTGATTGTGTCAACAAATTCTGCTCTTATTTGTTCTTGGTTTGATGGTTGTCATATGATTTATTTTTTTTTAATTACTTTATTTCATACCATATTAAAAATATCAATACTACAAAAGTACATTTTACTCGAGCAATTTTGTAATTATTATTTCTCCATTTTTAACAGAGCACAACCTATCTTTATAAATCCACACATTTCAAACTCTTCAATATTTATGACATTCTTATAAAAACATTATCAAACTTGATTCTCACTTCAATTAAACTCGTAAAAACTTGCACCACATCTCGACAAACTTCACCCTCTATTCTTTCTATTCTTGTTATGTAAATGTCATTTTGGTTTTCCAACAACAAAATTATTAATTATTCTTTTTTTTTTTTTTTTTTTTTGCATATTTGAAACCAAAAGTGAACCCAGTCTTACCTTAAAACTACCTTAAAATCCACTATATGGGCGTCATAGCTGAAGTCACACTGCAGGAAAGTGTCTGAATCTTCTGACACTGCCAGACCTTCATTGGAGGAAAAATATGATCGCAATGGCCATTAAGTAGCTGTTAGTGAAAGTCAAACCATTGATCAAAGACTACAGGTTTTAGCCTAGAATTACAGACAGCTCTTAGGATTTCTCAAATTTGTCTCAGACAATCAAACTGTGGCTGAAATCGTACAGTGTGAGCAGTGCTTTAGCAGGTGTAATGTGATAATAGAGACAATTGTCATGATAGAGTGCTTTCTACTGTACAAAATAAAAAGATTTGATAGTATCCAAACTTCTATTTTGAAAAGTTGCTATGGAGTAGCTTGAGTTTCTGGGTCTACATGATAGGATACTTTTAATGTCTGGATCTTGCAGTTTTGTTTTGCCCATTGTAGAAAAAAAAAAAAAAACAGTATAAGGTGTTCACCTCAAAGAGCTTGCATTTTTTATACATTCTTGAAGGGTAAAGGCCTTCAGACCAGCAAGTCTCAAAGTTATAATCAACCAGTGTCTATTATTTGTTAGAGACTTTCAAAACAAAAATGTATTGTAACATATTTTGGCGTTGAGTGCAGTTTTATAAATTTCTGAAAAGCTAAACCAGATCGATTTAATATTAAGCATTCTCTCTTTCTCTGTTCCCCCCAGCATGCGAGTTGATGAACAGAGGGATCCTAGCCTTGGTCAGTTCTATCGGCTGCATGTCCGCAGGCTCGCTGCAGTCTTTAGCTGATGCCATGCACATCCCTCACCTCTTCATCCAGAGGGCACCCGCGGGCACTCCTCGCTCCAGCTGCCCACCCACAACTCGTGCACAACCCGATGACTACACCCTCTTCGTCCGCCCTCCCGTCTATCTAAATGACGTCATCTTCCAAGTGGTGATGGAGTACACTTGGCAGAAGTTCATTATCTTCTATGACACAGACTATGGTGAGTAGTTTCAATTTACTGATGGCTGTAGCAAATGGCCGTAAGGAGTGTGTCCAATAAGTGACCCCACATTAACACCCACCTTATTACCACCACAGAGAGGAAATTATACAGCATTATTACCTCCATTGCTCATTATGTGTTTAAGGCTATTTTTTCGATATGTGCTCCAGAGAAAAGAGCATGGACTGTGAGAGAGGGAAAAAAAATTCTGGGCATTCACAAATTAACCACTATGTTGCCCATAGGCTTGAAGTCCAAGGGGCCTTGAGCTGTAACTTAGCTTTTCATTTTTTTGAGTGTACATCTTCCCTCAAGCTTGTTCCCGTTGCACGGCATTCCATTTCAGTTACTGAAGAAACTGGTTGAGGTAAAACATTTTTTGAGTGTGTGATATGGCACTGTAGGTTTTGACAGAAGCAGATTAAATGAGGGTCAGAATTTGCCTCCGGGTTCAGTTAGTCAGGCAGTTACCCAGCCACCAAATTAGAGCCATTTTCATTGATTAAGTTGCACAATATTTTCCCCAATCATAAAACTAATTACCCACATCAGCTAGGAAGAGATGGATGGATGGTAAAACAAGGCAAGTTTTAAGATGGATGTTTTAAATATAGCTACAGTATTTCGTCAACAAGAAGCAGTGAAATAATATGAAATATTTAGTTGTACAACTTTTGATTCTGATAATTTAGGTTCTGTGTTGCTGTTTGAAAATGGATATAATAATAATAATAATAATAATAATAATAATAATAATAATAATAATAATAATAATAACAATACTAGCAATTACTATTACTACTACTAATACTACTACTAATACTACTACTACTACTACTACTACTACTACTACTACTACTACTACTACTACTACATATAATAATAGTAATTATAATAATAAAAATAATAACAATAATAACAATTACTATTACTACTACTAATACTACTAATACTACTACTACTACTAATAATAATAATAATAATGATAATGATAATAATAATAATAATAATAATAATAATAATAATAATAATAATAATAATAATAATAATAATGATAATATTAATAATAATAATAATAATAATAATAATAATATTTATTAGTTTTATTATTATTAAAGGTGACCCGGTGGCGCAGTAGTTAGTGCTGTCGCCTGACTCACCTCACAGCAAGAAGGTCGCTGGTTCGAGCCTTGGTTGAGTCAGTTTGCGTTTCTGTGTGGAGTTTGCATGTTCTTCCCGCGTTCATGTAGTCTAGGTTTCTTCTGGGTGCCCCAGTTTCCCCCACAGTCCAAAGACATGCGGTACAGGTGAATTAGGTATGCTAAAATTAACCGTAGTGTATGTGTGTGAATGAGAGTGTATGGGTGCTTCCCAGTGATGGGTTGCAGTTGAAAGGGCATCCACTGCGTAAAAACATATGCTGGATAAGTTGGCGGTTCTTTTCGCTGTGGCGACTCTAGATTAAGCCGAAAAGAGAATGAATAAATAAATAAATAAATAATAATAGTAATAATAATAATAATAATAATAATAATAATAATAATAATAATAATAATAATAATAACAATAGTAATAACAATGGTTCCTATTATGGTCTTTTAAAATTATGGTCATTTAGTTTTTGTGATGCTGTTTGAAAATGTATATATTAATAATAATAATAATAATAATAATAATAATAATAATAATAATAATAATAATAATAATAATAATAATAATAATAATAATAATAATTCTGGCTCTTATTATGCATAAAAAAACGATAGCACATTTAGATCATCGCTTTGTTCCATTTTCTTGTTGCATACACTTTAGCTTGTTCCAACAAATAATTTAACATTTTACAAACATTCTTCTTTTTCCGCCCTTAATTTTCACTTCAAAAATAAAACAAACATCAGAGACCATTTCTCCAAACGAATCAAACAATTCCTTCAAAAGCTCAAATAATGAAAACAATAATCCACATTTTTAAAAACAATGAAAAAATTGTCTTTCTTCAATTACAAAAAGAACATCAGTAACATCAGAGTTTAAACTAGCGTGTACATGTGTGTGAGAGAGAAGGAGGTAGAAATAGAGTGTAGTTGTGTGTGAAAAGAACTCTATGGTTGATGGTCCCTCTGGAGGGCTTGCTCTGCTGCAGCAGGTTAAAGTGCGGATGAGTAAGTACCTGTCCCTGAAGACAAACGGATATGATTTCAGCCATGTCCAGAGGGCCATGTGCCTTGGGCAGCTATATAGTAATGAAGCTGTTGAGATCCTCTCTCTTCCTCCTAAGCTTGACCAGTGACTCTAGAGATAGTCTTTTCGGACATTTGATTAGCCTGCCTCTGAGAAAGAGATCTTTCAGAGAGAACAAAGTGTTCCTAAATTGCTTTGGCTTCTTAGGTTTGACTCGGACAATAAGGACTTTATTGATAAATTGATTGTGCCTTGTTGGTGTCTTCTGTTTTTCAGGACTAGTGGTGCTACAGAAACTTTAAAGATATTAAAGGATAATAATAATAATAAATCTATTTGTGCCTTGCAGTCTTACGGTTTCTCCCACTCTATGTTAAGTGTGCTCTGTTATAACTGAAGTTGGTCTAGACGACTGCATAATTGGAAGTGATTTAGCAATAAATGGGTTTCTTGAGTTGAGTGGATTTTGACTGCAACTTCACAAAAATACATATTTTTTGTCATTGACTGATAATTTGGCAGTACTTATGTATTGCTAAATTTAAAATGAAAAGTGTGAGTGACTGTGTTGTTTTATTACTAAAGAAAGATGCATTAAATTGATCAAAATGTGAGTAAATACATATATAATATTAAAGATTATTTGCAAAAAAAAAAAAAATCAGCAAATAATCTTGAAAAAACTGCAGCACAGTACAGTGAAAAACTACAGAATTATTTTCATTAAGTATAAAATGGATACAATTATATTATTACATATTTCAAAGTATTACTTTCTTTCTTTCTTTCTTTCTTTAAGTTGAAGGTTATAATTCTTGTTCTTGATGCACATTATTTAGTCCATCAAGTTTATTCCTGTGTAACATCACATTCTAAGTAAATATTTTAAATGCATTATTCCACTGGTATTAGTTTAGTTTAGTTTTAGTTTAGTTTAAACTTTATTGTCTGTTCTGCTTGACACAGGAAGGAAATTTGTCTTTAACACTGGATTTAAGTACTTTACCAGTGCTTCAAGTTCTGGCATTTTATTTTGTAGCGAACGACCGTTAGTTAACGATATAGTAAGAGGAAACAGACTGTTACGGTGTTTAAGCCGGTTTCGAATTCCACCTATAGCACCTTGCTGTTTCGTCCTTTTACCAGACGCTGTTTTTATAGAACCAATTATTTCAGAGAGGGTATGCGCTTTGGTGACGTTTGACTTTATATTAGAGTCTTAACAGATCCTGATGGCTTTAAAAAATCATCCTCAATCCATCGTTCCTCAAATTTCCCAGATTCACTCCAGCGCCCAATGCACAGATGCAGTCAATGACGCAATTTAAAATCAATAGCACCACAAAGAACTTTGCCAACATTTTGCGTCTTGGGACGCAAGTTAAAATACGAACCTTAAAACAGGTGAACGAGCATTAACACAAGCTTTACCGCAAACAAACACAAGCACGCCAGTTTCTGTGGTCAGCACATGCACATGCGCCCTCGGAATAGATAATTGTCTCAGTCTCAGATAAATGTAGGTCCACTAGCCTAATTGACAAATACACAGCTAAAGACACTGCATTACTATTCGTAGTCGTACTAGTATTAGTAAAATTAGTATTAGTAGCAGTACACTGTAAAACTTATACCAATAAGTTAAGGTAACTCAAATGGTTTGTGGCAATCAGTTTCCTCAAATGGTCTAAGTAAAAAAAAAATAGTTATAAAGAGTAATGTGAAGTCAATCCATTTGAGTATACAAAGCAATTCGAGCACAGTAAAACAAGATAAATGAAGAGAACTCAAATCAATTGAGTACTCAAAACCCAATTAGTTAAGGTAACTCAAACTGTTTGAGGAAACTGATTGCAACAAACCATTTAAGTTGAAAAACTAATCTATATGAGTACTGTCAACTTAATCCATTTGAGTACACTAAACAACTTGAGCACAGCAAAACCCAATGAATTAAGAGAACTAAAACCAATTGAGTACTCAAAACCCAATTAGTTAAGGCAACTCAAACCGTTTGAGGAAACCGGTTGCCACAAACCATTTAAGTTCAAAAACTAATCTATATAAGGACTGAGTGAACTTAATCCATTTAAGATGAAGTATATATTTGAGTGATTAAGTCTTGATAGAGCATTAATGATAAGCACATGTTGTTGAAAAGCAGATTAACTAAAGAGAAACTCAAAACTACAACGATCTAAGTCACATTATTAAAAGAAATAAAACACGTTCAATCTCTTAAAATTTAAGCAGAGGATCATCACATACCTTCACAAACAGTATCAACAGCTTCACACAGTAAAAGAGTTCAAAACTCTTTTCAAATGAAGTAGAATCAATTTCCATTAAGTTTTAAGTTAACTTAAGTTAGGATAAATTTGACTGTTGGGATTTACAGTGTAGTAGTAGTAGTAGTAGTAGTAGTAGTAGTAGTAGTAGTAGTAGTAGTAGTAGTAGGTAACTGAGCTAGAGGAAAATGCTTATATGTATGGTTTATCATTTAATTAATTATGTTTGGATTTGTACAATTTCTAAAAGCTGAATTCGAATTTGAAATCCTGTTCTTAAAGTAGATTACACAGGTAGGTTTTACAGACATGTGTTCAACATAATGCATTGGTAACTGCTTAAGGTGAAGTCGGTGACCTCTAATACGATAACCACCTTCCATAAATTTACTCTGAATAGCCGTGGCGTAGCAGTTACAACATTAGAATAACCTGTCTAGCACTTTGCCAGACCAGGATAAGGTTAATTTAATGTGCAGCAAGTCCAAATTGGATGATTTCATGGTTAACAGACAAGTGGATGAA